TTGTGCAGTAAACTGTGCACCAGACGCTTTAATCACACGTGGAAATCTCCTCCTCCTGAAAGTGACGCTCTCTCAAACTGACTCTGAGCCTCTGCTGTAAACCCACCAGCTTGTTAACATGGAAACAAGCTGCAAGCATCAGTGGATTTGACTCCAAGTCTTCCTCTTTAACATTAAAACCTTAGATTTCACAGGCTGCATAAAACAACAGATTAGGACACACTGAGGAAAGTCTAATGTTGATATCTTTGGCTCCATCATGAAACACGATGTAAATATCACGATATGTCCTGATGGGACGAGCTGCAGTTTAAGACTCCTTGAATTCAAGTTCATGTAAATATCGGCACATGTGGCATCCACAGCAGCTAAAGCTCATAGCAACCACCAACCAGCAAAAACAACACACAGCTAAAGGAGCAGTTACGTTGTTTAAAACAGAGGATGACTTCCAGCTGGTGGAATAAATCTGTGGTCATGTTACCTGTTGTAGTTTTGCAGGTTACTGCATTTTCTTGGACGTCCTCTTTGTGAAACCAGCAGTGAGTCTGAATCTGCCGCTGTCGCCTTTCCCTGTCTGGTAGTACGTAAACACGCACGCTCAGCGCGGTTTTCCATGTGGGAGGGGGGATTAATGATGCATTCAAAGGGTGTGGGAGAAAAAACCACTCACAGACATTCATACAGCTTAATATGGCCATGGCAACCCGTACTCGATGGTTACGACAAAACCATTTTAACCATGGTTAAAATGGTTTTGTCGTAACCCGCCCTGGGTAAGACCAGCATTTTGTAGATCCTCTGACGTCACGTTCAGGGGAGGCGACCATAACTCATCCTCTGCCCTCTCCTAACTCCAAATCCACTTGTGACCTGGATGAGGAGACAGGATGGAGTTTTGGAACACAGCCCTGCTCTCAGACATCAACATGTTCTTCTACGTGCTCCTCAAACAGCTGCTGTGTGCACTGCTGCCACCTCCTGGTAGTAGCAGCACATTACAGTCCACCAGCTGCCACTAAACACATTTACACACACACAGCAGCTGATTCATAACCGGTCACATCACTGCATCACTGCTCTGCTGACAGACTGACTGTGCTGAGTGCCCAGACTGAGCAGAAGACAGCTCCATAAGAACCAGTGCGTTCACCACGCTGTGCAAGTGTTCTGATGGATTAGAGCTTATTCACATGTCATTGTTTCGTTTCCTGTAATTGTCCTGCCTGTCATGTTACAGTGGCTACTCATGATGCTGTGACCATGTGGAGAGGTCTGAGCTCTTGTACTGAGCAGAGATGGGCAGTAACCCGGTAATCCGATTACTTTTTTCAAATAACGAGTAAAGTAAGGGATTACTATTGCAAAAA